ATAACAGGCCTATGAGAGAGTTAGGCTGGAGTTATTTCTACTGGACTCAGGTCCATGGTCAGTGGCCAGAGGTCAAAGATCATGGGAATACCAGGGAAATCTTCCTTGAAACTCAAGTGGACATTAGGTTTCGTGAAGCAGCAGACCATGGACTCCAGCTCTGTGGGACACTTCAAAGCCCCATGGGGACAGAAGGAGAGGGAATCAGGCACAGCCGCATCCAGGACACCCTGCCCATCACCCACCCATGGAATGGAGGGTGGAGTGACTTGGTGGCCTTTCTTTCTAGCATTTCTCTAGCTAGAGGGGGAGGCTAGGGTCCATAGGCCCCACCCCACCAACTCACTGACAAGACTCAGCCCCACCAGGGTAAGTTAAGCCCTCAAGGCCCTGCCTTGGAGTATGCTTTGGAGTGGCCCCAGCTGAGACCCAGGAGCTCCCTCTGTGGCTGCCACCGCCAGGCAGCACCAYACCTGCCGATGCCTCATCAGAGCCCTGGTTCAGCAGAGCAGCTTGGACCAAAATGAGGCTCTTGTTTCCTTCTTCCCCATTTTCCTTTCTTTTTATCCAACAAATATTTAGTTATCACCTACTATGTGCCAGGAAGCCTCCTGGAGCTGGGTGCTGAAGCGTGGGGCTGRGTCAGCAGCATCTTCCACAGTGAGGGGTCCATTTTGATCCCCGCCTACTCTCTAGAGGCTCYGGTCCTTCTTCTTAGAAGCACTGTGAGGCTAGAGACCTGGGCAGCCGGGTAAGCTGTTGACTTGATGGGGGGCCAAAAGACTCCCCATCAGACTGCAAGTCCCTGGGAGCCTGGCACCCACCCCTGGAGCAGCCCCTGCAGGAGTGCCGCCTCGGGTCCTGCAGTAGTGCATGGGTGGGGCCGGCCGCTCCTGCTCACTGAGGACTGTCTGACTTGGGGCAGCCCCATGTGCCACACAGGGTCCCACAGGACCACCCAGGAGGAGTCAGCTGGGGATGTTGAGGGAGCAGATGGAGGTGGGGGAGGCGCCGGGCAGACCCAGGGCCAGGGACCTATGCTGGGGATTGCAGTCTAGGCTGTGGACAGGAGGGCAGGGGACACATGAGCTTCCTAGGGCTATCAGGGCAAGTGACCACAAATCCTGTGGCTTAAAGCCATGGGGGGGGTGCTGTGGTCTCACGGTTCTGAGGCTGGAGCCACCCATCCAGGTATCAGCAGCTCCCGGGACACTGCCTCCCCCCACGGTCCCTTGGCTCCAGCGGTCCTCGGTGCCCCTCGGCCGGCAGCTGCAGCGCTGCAGTACATGTCTCCGTCTCCCTTGGCCTTCTCCCTCTGCCGATTCTCTGTGTCCAGATTTCCTTCTTCTGAAAAGTTACTGGATGTTAGGCCCAACTTAATCCCTCCTCTCAACTTGATTCCCTCCGCAAAGACCCGATTCCCAAATAAGGTCACACTTACAGGTACCCGGGATTAGGACTCCAATAAATCTCCCGGGGACACAATTCTACCTARTGCCCGGGGTGAAGAGGATGATGTATAAGGCCCCGAGCCAGGCGCAGCGGAGAGGAGTCCCAGCACTGGCCCCTGGGGTGCCAGGTGCCTCCCCTCTCGGGCAGGGCCAGGCACCCCCCACACGTGGCCGTGACTGCAGCGGGTTTTCAACTTGCAGCATCTGGAGCCCGTGTCGCCTGCCTTAGGGCTCAGCTCAGATGTCTCACCCTTGATGACATCTTCCCCGACCTTCCCCTAGAGAGAAGCCCTGGGCCCTTCGTCTGGGCTCTGCAGCCTCGTCTGTAAGCATGGCAGGCTTCAGCGCATGTGTTCCCTGGAGTCCCTCAGAACTAGGACCGGGTCTTACTCATCCTGGTCTTCTCCATCTGGCCCACAAGCACACAGTCGGCCCCCAGAGTTCAGTGAGGGAAGAACAACCAAGGGTGCTGGGCTGGGTGGGTGGATAGGTGGCCAGACAGGGAGGGCTTCCTGACCGCCCAYCCCACCCCACCCCTACTTCTTCCATCCCCCTGCCCTGCCTGGGTTTGCTCCGTGGAAAACCTGGTGTCTCACCTCTGTCTCTCCCCAGCATCTGTGCTACCCATTTCCCCCAGTACCAGGTCCACAGTATTCATGGAGTGGGGAGATGAATGGAGAGGTCGTGCCTCTCAGGATGGATGGACAGGTGCCTTAGGTGGGTGGTGGGTGGAAGTCTGTGGCCGGCGGAGGTCTGACACTCCATGATGGTGGCAGCCACCAGCATCACTCCTGCTCTCTGCTAGGTGCATCTGCCTCCCTTGTTCTCTCCCCGCCCACACCTGTAGACCCAAGTTTTGTTCTCTATAGTTGTCACCTCAGGGAAAGACCCTAGCTGTCCCAGCCTGGGATCCTTAACCATCTGGGGCTGAAGCTCTGCAGCCAGAGCTCTGCTGGGCCTGCCCTTAATCCCTCGGAAATACCCACTGCGCCAGGTTGTGAGATTGCAGCCTCAGCCTGCCCCAGAACAGGCCGATTTTACATAACATGTTTTGCAACCTGTTCAGTAACGTGTTGCCCCTCGGCGCTGCCTGCACTGCCCTGTAGTGTGGAAGTATGTGTGTGTGCGCATGTGCACACACGCATGTGCATGTGTTTCATGAGTGCTGCACCAATAGGGCACRAGGAAGGAGCCTCCTCTTCATGTTCATGTAACCTGCTTAGCTCCCAGGCCCACTTGGTTATAGAAAGAGGTCAGAGGTCAGACAGAGGATCTGCAGGCAGGTCTCAGGGCCCGAGGARAATGCGCACAGGTAGGGAAGCTGGGGGGGATCTCTGGTCTAAAGCCAGAACCCCGCTGTCCCTGGCCAGGCCATCAGGAGCTCCTTTCCCATTCCTGTTCCTGTCGTTGGTGCCCTTGTCTAGGACAGGCCACTCTGGCCGGCCCTGTCTTACTGGTCACGTTTTAGGGCAGCTGTTTCCTTGAGATTAAGGGAGTGAGGGGCGCTTCTCATCCTGCCTGGATGATCTCCCCTGAGTCCTGGGGAAGCGTCAGGATCCGTGCTGCGGTGTGTCCAGCTCCCCATGGCTGCCCTCGGTGTGTGGGGCGGAGCCARGATGTGGGTCAGAGCCCAGGACTCTGAGGCCCTGCTGAGGAGGCTGGCACCTCCAGGCCCCTGTTATGCCAAGTGCCGAGGGCAGCTCCGTCTGTCCAGCCTCAGAGCTGAGATCTCAGTCTGCCGCCAGCTCGGGAGGGAGCCTCTGCTTCCTGTCCATTGTCTACTTGGGGCACACCCTGTGTGTTCCTGAAGTGACCTGGAGAGGCTGTGAGGGAAGGAGGGAGGGAGGGAGGGAAGGGTCCGGCTGGAGCTTGCTCAGGGTGGGAGAGGGGAAGTGAGAGGGGAAGATTTGGTGTTTTTCCTTGTTTGTATTTTGTATTAAAGAAAACAAACAATAYCCTTTGAGAAAACCATTAAACAAAGCACATCCTAAGTCCCCAGAGCCCTATTGTGGCAGCCTGGAGTTGGGAATTCATTCATGCCTTTTTGGCTAGATTGTTGGAGGCAAGAGACAGAGGCTGGGTCGGGAAGGGCCGTCACTGAAATATAGTTTGAAACGTCTTTCCCTCCCTGGTCTCAGTAGGTGACTGAGCCAAGTGGCCGTAATGCCACAGTCCCTGTGCCCACAGTCCCTGACCAGTTGTCTCCCATTACCCTTCTGGAGAGCTCTCCTAGACTGGCCAGTCCCAACACAGTCAGGGCTGCCAGTGCCCCCCATCTCTCGCCTTGGTGGGGGCTGAGCCCTGTGAAGACAGACTAGTGGGACCTTCTCCATGGAGCCCCAATCCAGAGGTCTGTGTSCTCCCCAGGGGGTCAGGGCTGCAGCCACAGAACTGCCATCTCTCGTTCTCCGCACGACCTCCCCCTGGGCTTTGGTCAAAGGGATACCCACTGACCACCCTCCAGCAGACCGGCCTCTGGCTTTCCATTGCTGAGTGTGCCCAAGTGGTAGATTCCATGTCGGGGCCTGTTCTCRGGTCTCCCCTGCCCACGTCAGACGGCCCTCCAAGACCCCCAGGCCAGGTATCCCTGTTCCGTCCTGGGATGCTCACAGTGGGGTGGCGGTGCTGTCATGTCCCTGCTGGGGCACATTTCCCATTGCAGGTGGAGGTGGCGGGAAGGTGGTGAGAACAGAACTGGCCATCATCCCAGATTTTGCAAGTACTTCTGCCCAGGCCTGGTATTTGGCAGAATCAACCCTGCATTATAAGTCGATCTTCCCAACCTTGATGTCAATGTAAATAGTTGGCATGAGGGCATTTTACAAAAAAAAAAAAAAAAAAAAAAAAGTCCTTAGAATCTTCCCCAGTCCCTCCTTCAAAGTTTAAAAAAGCATTTAACTATTTGCATGTTTTCTCTAAATATTTCCCAGGCAATATCAGGAGAGGATTTGGGGTAAAATCGCACAGGGTAGTCTGGCCTAGGATTAGGAGAGGCTCTTCCCCTGCTTGAAGCTCAGGGTGAACAGACTTTAGCTCCTGGTCCTCTCAGCAGTCCCAAGTAGAAAGAAGTATCATTTCCATTTTGTTAGAAATTGGGAGATTGGAGAAGGATCTTGTCCCATCCTACAGCCAGTGACAGCATCCCTGGTCTAAGGGGACACAAAAACAGACCTCTGGATTGGGGTGTCCCACCGGCCTGCCTTCCAGTGCTCAGTTCCCAACCAAGGAAGGGAACTGGCTCCACGGCCCGGCCCGCTSTCTGCAAGACTGAACAGCTCCCTCAGCGCTCTGGACCCGGCATCCTTGCCTGCGTTTGTGGGTTTGGATAGGATGAATTCTAAGGTTCCCTGGGTCCCCGCTGTTCCTTGAGTCTGCAATTCTAGCCTCCTCACCTGGTGGGGAATTCATCAAATTCTAGCGTTTTCCATTCTCTGTCGGATTTGGTGGTCACAGTTAGCTGCTCCTGCCCTCCTGTCCTGGAAACTTGTATGGTCAGTTCTCTGCTCTCCTGCAGAAGTTACTCACAATCCCTCTTTCCCCGTGTCACAGGGCTACCACCCGATGCCCCATGAAGTGGAGATCGCACACACCAAGAAGCTGTTCCGGAGGAGGAGAAACGATCGAAGGTAGGAGAGACCGAAGTGAGCACTGGGTCTTCTTTTCCTGTGTGGGTGGCTGTGCCTTCTTCAGCCCTGGTCCGTGTTGTGCTTTTGCTCTCATCGATTGACACCTCTGAGATGAGGTTGGTAGGTTGGCGGCACGATGCGCTTGGTTGCCAGTCGGAGATTCCCACACTGCACTGGTGGCCCAGAGACAGGACCCCTATAGGAGTCCGGCAAAGCACAAACCTGCTGGCTGCGTGTTTTGAGAGATGGCCTCCAGGAGGCTCCCGGAGCTCACAAGTCCAAGGATATCTGTTTTTCCTTCTCCCTGACATGGGGAGTTGTCCCTGGGATTGCCGGCTGGCTGTCACAGGCAACACAGATCAGCAATAGACAGTGCTGCTGCTCCCAAACAGTGAGCCAGTGAGCAGTGAGCCAGGCTCTCCCGTGGYGCTCAGAATCCTGGGTGACCATCGGGGAACAGGAAAGGACTGATGAGTTGGTTTGGGTAAGAACAAGCAACGGAGACTGGCCGTCTGGGGAATGCAAGCGTTTGTTTGCTACAAGGCTTTCTTACTGGGAAAAGTCTTCATGCTATAGTTTAAGTGAAAAAAAGAAAAAATTCCAGGTGCAGAACAGTATTTATTGCGTGTGGCCATTTGTGCAAAAGGGGGAGTCGGAGTATATTTTTTGCTTGAATGTGCATAAATTATTTCTGGATGGAAATCCAAAAAAAGAAAGAACAAAAAGGCGTATGCCTGAGGAATGCAAATGATGTGTTCCCTATAGGGAATTTATTCTTACAAGAAGGTGATGTCTTGTGATCTACCTTTTGTGAACAGAGAATGTTCTCGGAGAGATGAGGAATAGCCAGCTGACATCCCCTGATCAGAAAATGAGGAGTGCCTGCCCTCATGCTGCGTGGCCACCTCCTGGAGATGGAGGGCTGTGGCTGACCAGCGTCTCCAACCCTCCCCTCGGCCTGCAGGCCCTGATCACGGGGTATGAGGTGGTGGCCACAACTCTCAGGGTGGGAGGAGGACACAGTACCCAGAGGGCTTGTCCTCCAATAGCAGATTTAGTGAGTTTGAAAACATTCACAGAAGACAGTAAATGTCCAACTAGCTGGGAGGCAGGCCGCCCTGGCTTACAAGTCGGAACCACCAGGCACTTTATGTGGAACCACCAGGCATCAAAAGGGAAACTTGAGCCGGGAGAGTTGGACCGAGCCCGGCCCCTGCTGCGGCCAGAGTACAGCTAATTGCATTGTGTGAGCTGCCACGGCTGGGCAGAGCCRCACAGGCCACGTCCTGGCTTCTGGGTTCCCAGCAGAGTTAAAAAAACAGAGAGTACCCCTAAAGGAAGAATGGGGTTCCCAAGGGCTTGGGCACGCCAGGGGGAACAGAATGTGTGTCTCAAAGGCATGGAGAGTCCCTAAGCTTCCGAATTAAACGGCTTCTCCTGGCCCAGGCCRTCGCATCCAGGTCAGCCCACATGTCCCTTTCTGGGCCAGGTCGCCTTGCTCCACAGGAGTCCCCTGGACMGGGGCAGGCCTCCGGAAGGCAGCAGCATGACCCAGGAATGTAGGAAGAGCAACATGCACGACACACCAGGACTGGGGAGCTGGGCTGCGCTCATAGTAGCCAGTGCCCGGGGTAGGTCAGCTCACCTCGCAGAGGATGTGGGCTGGGCCAGCATCCAGAGCGAGGCAATAAAGATGATTAAAGGGACGGAAAGTATGTCCTGGAGGAGAGCTGGAAGGCTGGGGCCAGGGAAGAGGAAAGAACATCCACACTGCGAAACTCATGAAAGATTTACACACAGGGAAAGGGTGGCTGCCTCGTGGCTCCCCGGGACACAAACTAGAGGAAGTCAGCTGAGTCAAAAGGAGAGAGTTTTYGGGTGGACCAATGACAGACTCAAGGATCGAACGTCTCCACCATCGGGGTCAGACTGCCATTCAGGGTAGCAGATGCTCACCGAGTCAAGGCTGGTCAGGGCGCCCCACCCTCCTTCCCGTGCTGGAGCACAGTACAGCCCATCACCACCGCCTGAGTCATCCTGGAGTCCCCAGGAGATGGGGACTTCCAGGAGAGGGACAGGCAGCCATGGGGTTTAAGGATCTCATTGTCTAAAAGCAGGAGGGCCCTGAATCCTTATCAGGCCAATTCCAACCCTCCTGGTCGATCATCCTCCTGAGTGGCCTTGCTAAGCGCTGAACCTTTAAGTTTGACCTTGATGGTTAGCACTTCTGTCCAGCAGGTCAGCCTACTTTGGGGCTTAAACCACAACGAGAAGGGCTTGCATTCCATGAGTACACCACACAGCAAAGGGGGAAGAGGTGACCAACATCAGGTTTGGTGTCAGAGGGACACAGCCAGCATCTGTATCATGCCTGTGATCTCACCCCTGGTTCATGGAGGGAGGTAGCCATCTCTGGCTCTCCTTGGTTTGCCTACAAGAGCCCRTGGCCTTGGCTTCCTGCAAAGTGACTTGAGTCTGGATCTGAGAACTGTAGGCTCTGTGTAGCATGGGCACGTAGCTGCAGATAGGATTGTGTGATGCCCCCAAACCATCTTCAAGGAAGTCTGCACCATGTCCCAGTCCCAGCTGGCTCTTGGGGTGTTTCTGTGCACCCTGACTGCCTTAATTTCCCACTTGTCTCAATCAGAGGCTGTTAGAAAGCTGCATAATGTCACACTGGTGGCTCACGCCCCAGAATTAGAAGCTGGATGTGAATCCCACCCGCTTCGCTTACCAGCTCTGGGATATTGGCAAATTGCTTCATATCTAGAAAGCTCGATTGCCTCTTCCATAAAGTGCATCCACTAGTTGGGAGACTTGAAGGAGCTTGATCTTGTAAAGCCCTTTGGAATGGCCAGCCCACTCTCAGGTCAGAGGGAGGTCCAGGTGGCCAGCAAGCCTTGCCAGGCATTGTGCATAGGAGATGCTGCTCACCCACTACCCAGAGGGGGCCAGGTTTGCTTGTGAACCCAGGAAGCCTTGCCTGGTACCCCTTCCAGGGTCAGGGCACCAGGTCAGTTGTGTGCCCTCTCCTGGAACAACTTTGAAAGCTCGGTCTCCACAGTCCTGACCTCCCCAAGCCCAGCTGGCGGGCCAGGAGAGCCCCTCCACGGTAGCCGTCCCCAGATTCTGCTCCCATTTCCACGGGCTGCTTCAGGGGGCTCTGTGATAAAAATTGAGTTGTGGGTGGCTCCCCACCCCACACCCATTTTGCAGGGAAAAAAAAAATTAAGGTCTTGGACAGTTCAAAGGTTTTCTCCTTAAAAATGTTCTTGAATTTGGACAACTGATAACAACTTGTTTATTTTGGGAAGCTTGTAAAAGACAGCAGATTTCAGGCCAGTCCTGCATTTTATCATCTAGACCCRATGAATGAGTTCTCAGTGCATTCCCCAGAGAGCAGCGGGGCTTCAGGTGCTCTGTCCTCCAAAGAGGTGAGACCCGCWACTTGGAAGAGAGTGTACCGAGGTTTATCTGCCTCCTCCCAGAGCTCTCTGCCCCCAGAGTGCAGAGCAGAGGAGCACATTCACTAGAAGGCTGAAGTCTAGGCCCTTGGCCTCTGTTGACCTTGAGTGGTGTCCTCTGGGGAGGGGACAGAGGATTTTCTCAGCCCCTCCCCTAAGGCCCACCCCTAGCTCCATTTTAATTGCTAAACAGACTCAGGAGATGCCTTGGTCTAGGTTCCCTGGGAAACAGATTCCGGGATGGAGATTAGCTTTTTAAGGAATGCCCTGGAATCCGTCTGTGGAGAAGAAAGGGGGAGGGGAGGGGTGCAGGATTGGGCAGAAGTTGACCTGCATTGAGGACTTCCTGGGAGTTGACCCAAGATGAAGTGACAGAGCACACCTTTACACCTTGTGTCCCTGGGTCATCAGATGGGGACTGCCAGGGGGAAAGGAGGTGTGACCTYAGACTGAGCAGCTGTCTTCACCCAGGGCGGTTTCTGTAGAGGGTCGCAGGGCAGGCATACTTTCTTCCTGAGGGGGCCGTGGGCGCCATCACAGCCAGCCCCACAGTGAACCGCTACTGAACTCACCAGCTTGGATTGATGGGGCTGTCCTCGGTGTTAGGTGCAGTGTTCCCAAGAGCATCAGAGTACAAAGTGTGGTCCCTGCCCTCAAGGACCAGAGGTGGAACTTGTACAATGGCACACTTGTTCCACAATCAGCCAGAATGTGGTGCTTGCCTGTGGAGCGTCTCGTGCTAATACAGAGGTGGCTCAGGAAAGGAGCCATCGTGGGGGTGGTTCTGGAAGGCTTCCTGGAAGAGGTGGTGATTGAACCACTGGTGAAACTGGAGGAGGATTTGGAAGGGAAATGGGACAGCGAAGGACCACAGGAGTGTGAATTACACAGCTAGGTAGGCACGGGGCCAGGGATCCCCACCCCTCCCAGAAGTGAGACAGACAGGCGGGACTCAGTACCTCCACAGAGCTAAATAGGAGGGAGCGGTCAGAACACGCTGGCTCTGACAGTCCCCTGGCCAGGCTGATAGGAGTCTCAGTAAACCCTGCAGCTCCAAAGCCCAGCTCTTAGCAATTACCGTAAGGCAGCTAATGGAGACATTAGCGGTCCGTTGCAGATGCCCACCAGTGTGACCAGGGAGACAGGAGAGCTGTTTTCCAAATTAATTTGCTTCATTAAATGAGGTCTCAGAAYGGTTAATTTAGTCCATGGCCAATCAGATGGAAGGGAAGAAGAAAAGAAGACCTTAGCCGTCCCCTCCAGTGTCAATGGCTACACTGGGCAAGAAGCAGGGGAGAGGAGTGCAGAGCTGGGCCACCTTCTGTCTACCATTGACTGTGGCTAGAGCTTAGTGTCCTCTCATTGTAGAACCACTGAAGAATTGTGTCCCTCCCTCTCTTCCTTTGCCAACACGTACTAGAACTCCTAAGTGTCAATCTTCAGATTTGATTTTGCAAAGTCTTTGTGGTGGCATTTACGACACTGATCAAAACAGATAGGATGCTGGAATTAGTGGGGATGGGTATGCAACTTTGC